GCTAAACTTAAATAGCATAAACGCTAATTCTACAATTTCAGAAATAAATAAATGAAACTTTAATGATTTACAAATTTTGATTCGATCAAAGTTTTACTATATATTTAACTCACGATTTCATAAAACGTAATTGTTTTTTTAAAGAATACTGTATAAATCCTTGTACATTTAAATTACCTCGATTTATACATTGTTTTAATTACCCGTTTCAGTAAATCTTTAACATGATTCACAATTTTATATGATATCATGATTTAGACAACTTTTTCTGAATTTATCGTACAATCAAGCTTGAAATAACAATACGAATAGAAACCTGTCAAGGTGACCATGACAACCTCCAGTCAAGGTTTTCTAGAACTGGTAGAATATTGTGCGAGTTTGTTAGTCCTTTAAAAGGTAGTGTAAAGCGTTAATTATCTACACGTGAGGTTTGGTGGAAATTGTTATTAATGTAACAAACAAAGTAGAGTGAAAAGTGTTAATTATCTAAACTTGAGATTTAGTGTAAATTGTTAAAATTGTTATTAATGTAACAAACAAAGTGAAAAGTGTTAATTATCTAAACTTGAGGTTTAGTGTAAATTGTTAAAATTGTTATTAATGTAACAAACAAAGTAGAGTGAAAAGTGTTAATTTTCTAAACTTGAGATTTAGTGTAAATTGTTAAAATTGTTATTAATGTAACAAACAGAGTGAAAAGTGTTAATTATCTAAACTTGAGATTTAGTATAAATTGTTAAAATTGTTATTAATGTAACAAACAGAGTGAAAAGTGTTAATTATCTAAACTTGAGATTTAGTATAAATTGTTAAAATTGTTATTAATGTAACAAACGGAGTGAAAAGTGTTATTTATCTAAACTTGAGATTTGTTGTGAATTGTTATTAACCTAAACAACGAATAGTGAAGAGTGTATGTTGATTATCTAAACGTGAGGTTTGGTAGAACGATAATTGTGTTGCATACTTTTATTGTAATTTTTCTTCAGACCCTAACTAAAATCATCCTTCTACTTGAACCTATGATTTGTCTATACTGTATTAAATTACAAATATTAGTTAAATACCTTTCATGAAACACAATAAAAATCAAAACTTTAACCCAGTTTATGAAGTTTTCAAACAGTAAAGTTTAACCTAGTTGCTGATCTGGAACCATCTGTAAAATAACATGCATTATAATAATCAAAGTCTGGGGTCTCAATCAGAAGAGCAGGCTTGCTAATGTTACTTTTCACTGACTTTTCTGAAGATGAATTGGAACGTTGAATTTTAAGTGTTTCTTACATTGAGATAGTTAATGTCAATACACTAAAACGTTGAATTTTAAGTGTTTCTTACATTGAGATAGTTAATGTCAATACACTAAAACGTTGGATTATAAGTGTTTTTACAATTAAGTAGTTAATGCCGATACGTTGAAACGTTGGATTATAAGTGTTTTTACAATTAAGTAGTTAATGTCAATACGTTGAAACGTTGGATTATAAGTGTTTTTACAATTAAGTAGTTAATGTCAATACGTTGAAACGTTGGATTATAAGTGTTTTTACAATTAAGT